TGTGCCCGCAACCCAGGTACATGCCCTTGACCGGAATCGAACCCGGGACCTTTCAGTCCACAGACCGACGCTCTATCCACTGAGCCAAACCGGCCTCGGCTTGCTTGTTTTTTTTTTAAAAAAATATATTTTTATTGATTTCAGAGAGGAAGGGGGAGGGAGAGAGATAAATAACCTGGGATGTGCCCTGACCAGGAATGTAACTTTGACCTCCTGGTTCATAGATTGATGTTCAACCACTGAGCTATGCTGGCTGGGCAAGCATGCTTTCTTGTTTCTCTGTGTGGGAAAAGGTATCTTCTCTGTCTTTCCCCTAAGAGTGTACTGTAGTCTTTACAGGGTGCTGTCTTCAGGCAGGGCTCGCAGTTCTAAATCCCCACTTTGCTTGGGCCCAGCGCCTCATCACCTAACTTAAGAATGGATGAAAACCCATACTCCTAGGGCAGTGATGGCGAACCTTTTGAGCTCGGCGTGTCAGCATTTTGAAAAACCTTAACTCTGGTGCCGTGTCACATATAGAAATTTTTTGATATTTGCAACCATAGTAAAACAAAGATTTATATATATTTTTGATACTTATTTTATATATTTAAATGCCATTTAACAAAGAAAAATCAACCAAAAATATGAGTTCGCGTGTCACCTCTGACACACGTGTCATAGGTTCGCCATCACTGGTCTAGGGTTACACCTCGTGAGCCATGCCCACCCACACTTCAGTGGCTTATTCGATCACTGCTCCTGTTTTCCATTTCTGGCACCTGTGTCTTTTCTTTTCCCTCCCTCCCTTCCTCCCTCCTCCCTCCATCCTTCCTTCCTTCCTCCGTCCTTTCGCCAGCTCAGTCATTCAGTTAAAGCAATAGTGCTTACATCCCCTCTAATCTTTAGGTGAGTGCAGCAGAAGGATTTTTAGGGGTCACTGAGTTTTCCTCTTGCTGGAGCTGAAATAAAAGTGTCCTCTCTCAAGCTCCTTGGCTGGGAACTTGCCCTCTGCCTGTCTCTTTACTGTGTCCTCTGCTCATCCCAAGAGCCTTGCGTGGCCCTCTCCCCTCCCCCTCCCTATACTGAGAACCCCCATACACACCTCCCTGAGACCCGTGGATCCCTGGACCCTCATAACTTTTAACAAGTTGGCAGGACCGAGTGCCGTTAAGGACTCAGAGATTTGACTGACAAAGCTTGGGTTGAATCTTTTCTTTTGGTGCCACTTACTGGCTGAGGTACCGGGAGGCAAGTTGCTTGGCCATTCTGAGCCCATTTCGTGTGTAAAGCGAGAGAAGCCGTGAGCCCAGGACTCTGGAGGCACGCTGTGGATGGCCAGTGAGCGAGGGCCGAGGGTATCGTGGGGTGAGGTCTGTGCTGTGTGGTTACACAGGCCAGGGGCCAGGCATTCAGGCCCCCCAGTCCCCGGGCACACCGCCAAGCTCTTTACAGCGACTCCTCAGGGACGATCGCAGCAGTGAGCATCCCTGACCTCACATGACAGACGAAGGTGCAGAGGCTAGAGGTGGCTGGGTAAACTCGCCCAGTCCTAGTCCAACAGGCCACTGACTGCTTTGACCTGAACCTCTTTCTGGGAGGAACACCCTTTACAGGGATAGTCACTGGGCGATCTGAGGCTGTTTTAGAAGTAATTTTTTTTTAAAAAAATTCTCATTTTATTTGACCAACTTATGGGAAGCTTTTTTTCCCCCTTTGAATTCCGGGGACGGGGTATCTTCTGGGTGCCCGCCCCGGTCAGACGTGAGCTGGTACAGGGTTGGGAAGAACAGGTGGTGGCTGCACCCCACCTCCCTGCAAGGAGAGCAGACCCGGCCAGGAGCAGAGACCCCGGGGTTTGACCAGCAGGTGGGTAAGAGCCTCCTTCCCCCAAGCTGGGCTTTTTCAGAGCCTTTTCCACCTACATGCAGCCGCCTCTACCCCAGCCCTGGCCAGAGGCGCTGAGCCCAAGGCCGGCCCGGCTGCCTGCAGGAGGCGGGGAGGCCGGTCTCTGAGCACCTGGCCCGGGGCTCGGGCTCCCGCACTTACAGTGATGGGCCACAGGATGAAGGGCATGTATCTGTTGATGGCGAAGGTGTAGACGATGATGAAGAAGAGGAAGATGGACATTTCCATGGTGATCATGAGCGAGAGGAGCGGGTGCACCACGGTCCCGGTGAACATGACGAGCGCAGCGATCAGGCAGCCCTGTCGGGGGAGACACGGCCGAGGGCGGGCGGGCTCTCACCGACTCCCCACCCCAGCTCCCCCCTCTCTCGGGGCGGGCGGGCGAGGACTCACCACGCTCAGGAGCTTGACCTCGGCGTGCCCCATCACCCAGAACTCCTTGTTGCTGTCCTTCAACTCCCACTTGTAGCGGCGGCACCCCTTCCGCGTGCCCACTTCGTCCTTGGGCTGCACGGATTTGGGCTTGGGCGGCGGTTCTTCCTTCTTTTCCTCCTCCTTCTTCTCCTTCTCCTCCTCCTTCCCCTTCCCCTTCCCCTCGTCCTTCCCCTTCTTCCCCTCCCCCGGAGGTTGCTCTCCCTCCTTCTTGCTGCCTGGAGGAGGTGCCCCCGGCTTGCCCCCCTTTTTGCTTTTATCTGCCATCGTGGCGGGGACCCCTTGGGCTTCTCACGGGCCCGCCCAACTTCCTCTTGCTGTTCCCGGACAGGCCTGACCTTGAGCCAAGCCGGGCGCCAACCGACTTGCTCAGAGGCCACGCTCAGCCAACGGCCGAAGACGAGCGGAGCC